AATTACGGAAACTGTTAATTAAATAAAAATATCTTTCTTATACGCGAATACATTTTTATTCCGATATAATATATGACTCTATTAAATCTACTTTAATATGGATATACAGACTAATAAAAAAATAAATTACATTTAAAAATAAATTCGTATTGGCAATGAATAGTAATTTGAATTGGATATCGACCGCAGAGTACGATGCAGCAGCGACAATGATGGCATGTGGAAGAACGTCACGTTTTATAAAACTGAACGATAACGTCGCCAACGCACTTCGAAAGTTTGTTCTTATCGCAAGACGATAGCTCGGGTTTCTCCCAATGCAAATGAAACATCGCGGTCTTTACAATTTAGTACTTGCAGTATAGTAAAGTTTTAGATTCCGTCAAGGAAATACTCAACTTGTTATTATATATGCGATGCGCATCTCGGATGGAATATTATCAGATCGATGAAAAAATATTTTCTCTCTTAATATTTATGGTTTTTGCAATTCAGCACTTGCAGTATATATAGTAAAGTTCTGATTTTGTTAAGAAAACATACGATTCTTCGCGGAATGATTCTATCTGAATAGCGAAAAGGGATATATGTCCACGAACTCTAGATCAATATGCACTTATAAATTATTAATATGCACACGAATCTATCAATACGTATTTTTGAAGTGAATAAATTTTTATCTCTTTCTTTTTCTTTGAAGTTCAATTTGATTAAAATGCATGTGAAATAATAACATTGAATAAAATTTATTTAATCATGAAATAGGAAATACATTTATAATTGTTAAATATGTTTAAATGTTTTCTAAGAGTAAGAAGTAAGTCTAAAGAAAATAGATCTGTACGTAAAAATATATCTTGCAAAAAGCCATAAACAGATATTATGAGCGTCTGTACATACAATATATACATATGTAAAAATGTTCTCAAATATCATCATATTATGTGATGGAATATATTTCAGAAATATTATGATCTGGTAGCAAAATTATGCCAAGATTCCATAAATTTCTTTTTTCTGCATAGAAATTTAGCCTGATTATAATATACTATGAATATGTACTGAGATAGATTATTTTAAACTTATACTATCGTCTACTATGCTTGAAGTTGCAGAACTTACATAAAAAATTAAGAGAGATAAAAAGATGAGCATATTGAGATAACTTTATCAAGTAATACCATGCACTTCCGTTGGCGTGAGTAAATTGTCAATTGACGCAGAAACGCTTATCTAGCGAAGAATTAAACTTAAGCTTAGAAGTCATCTGATCGTGAACTGGACTCAGGTGTTTCTTTAAGCCCCTGTCTCCCCACCGATCGTAACTTAGTATGTGTCAGAGCAGCCACGACTCGTAGATACTTTTAAAACAATGAGCCGACATTGGCGGACCTGCAGTGAGTGTTTCGGTGTGGCTCGTTAATGAACTCGCCGTGTTGTCCTCGTTCTCAGTTTATGCGATAAGTGAATTTTTTCGTTTCTCAGCTAGTATGAGTTCAGCCTTTTGGCGCGCAAGCTCGAAGCGTGAGCAATACTTTTTTGCCATTCAAAGCTATTAATCATATTTTTTTGAATAAGTATATATTAAAAAATTAAATATATAATATATTTAAAAAAGACGAAATTTTCGATTGATTGGTCACTGTATTGTATATTTCACTCGTGATAAATCCCCTTTCAACATCGATATTGTTTTATCATTATGTTAGATACGATGATATTTTGATATCTTATCTTTTCGAAAATATACGATGATGGACAAGAGAAAACGGAGTCTCTTGAAAGGGGCCAAGGACGAAATTGAATTGGACAGAATGAATAAGCACAAACAAGGCAAGGTAATATCATTACTCAAGGAAATTCAATTGAGTTAATGTTGCTTTTACTTTCCCATGATAGTAGCAATATTGTATACTAAATGTACAAATGAAAATAACAGAAAACTTTTGTAATATCTTTTATTATATTTAAATTTATAATGGTAATTCCATTGGTAATTCCATCGAGGAACAACTAGTTTTATATTAAAGAATTTATGATTGTGAAGAAAGAATAATAATCATAAGTTATCTCTTTTAAAATAAATTAAGTTGCATCTAATTGATAATGCAAATAATTTTTGCTGTAAATGTTACGCAAAAAAAGTCACTGAAGCGAGCAATTTAATGTTGCACACAAACAGCTGCTGTATCCAGTAGAGTTTTATTACGGCACAACCAAGTCATCCCGTTTATACAATTAATACTATTACATAAATGTGAAAATATTATATTATTTGTCGTGAAATCATGTGATACATACGCATACTCATTTGCACGAAATAAAAGGTCTGTTTTTTATTGTGCTTAAAAGTCTGTTTCTTATCACTCTCTGAACTAGTGTACACGATGCAATAAATTGAATTGAAACAAACGTATATTTGTTTCACTTTAACTTATTGCATCGTGTGCACCAATTCAGAGAGTGCAGCAATAAAAAACAGACCAGCTTTTGTTGTCCAAATCAAGTTCCTCTTATTTTCTGTTCAATCATGTTTTTGAAATTTTCGTTATTTTACCACGATTTGCTTTTTCTTGATTTATTTGGTAATACTCATGTATTTACATACGTACAATCAGTGCGAAAGAAACCCGTCCAATGCAACAGGAAAAATAACCATCGCCTTGGCAATCAAAAGGAGGTGGTGAAGAACATCAACGATGAGCGGTTGCTTGCGTTCTTTTTTATCAGGTCTCTCGCGTATAGGGGAGAGAAGCTCGTCGCGATGTTCGTCCCCAAGGAGGACAAAAAGAAAGAAGGCAAACACCGGACGACCAGATTAATTATAGCGATGGAACGACAATGGCGCGCGTGGCTTCTTTGTTGGCCCTAATTAAATTGTCTCCCCTTCCTCGCGCACTCCTTCCACTATCCATCCAGTCGATCACCACCTACGGATGATGCCTCTTCTGCTCATATCGATAGTGCACGATGAGGATCTCCTAGTTACTTGCTCGTCGTGTAAGGAGGAACGACGTTCGAGAAAGAGAGAGAGAAAAAGAGACATTTGTTCGCGCGCTTGGAGATGGGATTCATAGTGTGCAATCGTTTTCCTGCAAGATAGGGACTATGGCATTGCGGCATGTATATAGCGAAGTCTCGATGTGAATTGATATTTTGAGAACACGGAGATGCGCCAAATTAGAACAGCGGATTAGAACAGCGGACGATGTATCAAGTAATTGGAATCTACAAGCCAATTAGTGCAAAGGAAACTTAATGCGCGATTCTCGGAAAAGCAATTGATTTCTTATGATTGTGTACGTAAAGTTTACAGTCCGAGCTTTTGTGATTTTGTTTATATCTTATTTCCGGATAGATACATTCTTACATTTCAGAAATCATAAATCTTTATCGCAAAATAAATAATTTATAAATATAATAGGCTTCTTAGTGAATTAATTTTATTATTATTCTCAATTTTATATAAACTTTGCTTTAATTATTCTGGAGACATAACAGTCTGGCCATGAGTTGATAAACTTTTAATTGACATTTTTGTCAACTTCAGTAAGTTAGGATAAGTATAAGATATAGTAAGACAGCATATACATATAAAAAGAAATAGTATATATTCTTCTTTTTTACTCTTGTTTTGTCAAAATTTCTTGTGACAAGATTCTGTTATAGGCTCTTTAAATTATACAAATCGTATAATATCTAAAAGTAAAACTCATATTCTCCAATTTCTCAGCAATGTGTGAAAGCATATAATAGAAAACATTTAAAACTATAAAATAAAAAAATCAAAGCCGTTTTTTAAATTAAAATCAAACACTTAAGACTTTTTTAAATTTTACAATAAAAAAATTTTTAAAGCTCAAACAATAAATATGCGTTTTATTTATATATCTATTTTATACCTATTCAATCAATATAATATTAAATATGTAATTGCAAACAGAACGATTATGTATATCATGTATATGTTTAAAAATTTATTTATTTTGTGATAAATATGTTATGTTTTAATTCCAACCGAATACGTTGATGGATTACAAGTCTCACAAAAAAGATGTAGAACCTTGTTTATCTTTAATAATATATGCTTTTTTATATATGTATTAATTTCTATGTAAATTTTGATTTATTACAAGAGCATATAAGGCATTTCTGAATTATTGCTTACAAACAATTATCATTATCTAATATTTTACTACTTGACGAGAAATGTATGAAATGGAGAAGAAGAATTATGAAATGTGCTAAGAGAAGATACGATCGATATTTTTTATGTATGTACGTAGCTTCGCATGATTAGATTTTGATCAAGGCATTTTTAGTAGACATTTGACTTAATCAAGACATTTTTATTTATTATTGCAGTTGGCTGCCATCGCCTTGAACTTTGGTGTACTGGTCTCTGCCATTTACGAGGGCATTTACGCCCGAAGAGGTGGCGATCCGACTAAGATTAGGGTCGTCACGGATCCTCGTGGAGCCACCATAAATAATCCAGGGTATCGGGAATATCATCAACCCACGAACGGTAAGCTCGAACTGGACAGCAGTTCAGTTTTCTAATATCTGTGACTCAACTAAATTTTCCTATTAAATATAGACATATTATCCTTTTTGATATCATGGCAAATAGACTCACAATAAAAGTCAAACTGGCAGTCAATTGACTCAAAAAACGATTAACATCTGTTTTTAAAGCACATTCAGTTTAATGCGAAATTGCATTTCTATTCATTACGAACCTTATTTAACATTGGATGCGATAAGCCAAATAAGACCATAATTTAACATGTATTATGTACAGAAAACAAAAAAAATTCATTAATGCTCGTTTCTACTAATGTAATTTAATTTTCATCTATATTCAACTAACTGTTTATCTTTTCTAAGAATTAGAAAATTTTTAAAAACCACACAAAGAGAGAGAGAGAGAGAGAGAGAGAGAGCTTTTTTTCTTGCGTTATGACATATATATTGCTCTATTATGGATAATTTTTCTTTGTTAAAATCCGTTTTGACGTATCCTTTCTTCTTGAAACACTCCATCTCGCTTTTGCAACGAAGTTTCGATAATAATTTATATTGTAGGTCATATTTGCCAATACTTGATGTCGGCTTTTCTGAAACAACTTGGTTTAGTCGGTTGACATAAAATCGATATAATTCTCAGAAAAGAAGGATCATATTATCACGTCTGGAACTGAAAGTGATAAAGTTTAGAAGTCGATGTCCATAAATGTGATAAGAGAACGATACAAGAGAGAAGAAGAAAAGAGTGTAAAAAGAAGAACGTAGTAATACACGCGTAGTATACTACGCTTTCTCTCGCTTTTAAAGAGTCTTACTATCCATGCATACACACACACACACAATATACCTATATGCAGGATGAGTTAAATTGTATGTTTTGCGTATTTGCTCGCCACTACATAGCATTTTTGAGACACCGAATAAATTCATCGTAATGTAGCGATCACGCTACGCTGCGTATCTTCGTTTATATTACTGCGCGTAATGGTTACCCCCAATACATCAAAGCCATCTACCATAACTTATCGACTTAGCATCGTAATATGTTAGATCGTAAAACGAAGTTTTGTCGTCCTTTTTTTTGTCGTCCTGGCACGTGTAATGCTTATCAATGTTGTAACACACACTGCGTATAATATACGTATAAAAAATATATAATTTGAATAATAATAATATGTAATCGAAATATTATCTATTATACTCTTTTTCTGCTAATATATTATACATCCCAAGCCAAAGTTTGAAAATATTTTTAAGTAAAGATTGACACTTTTGGGATTACTTATTTAAATATCCATAATAATATATTCTTTTTAAATAATAATATTTTAAAATCCAATAACTATTATGGGATCTTAAGAATTAATATTAAAAATACATTATTACATTTACAAACATTTGAGTAAGTAATCCAAAAAAATGTCAATTTAAAAAAATGTTTTGGGAATGCGTATCACAGCTCGTAAGCTTTTATGCATTCTTTTGCATATTATAGTTAATATTCTATGCAGATCTCTCTCTCTCTCTCTCTCTCTCTCTCTCTCTCTCTCTCTCTGTTTCTCTGTATATGTTAGACATATACCCATACCATTCTGAGAACATTCTTAGGATGTAGGATGTTCTTCATTTTCTTTAAAACGTCTTATGCTATGTAGGCTTGTGCTGTATGAGTATAATCTAAAATATACGTACCTGTGATAATAGTTTGATTACATTGATAACATCCCGAATATAAAAGAAATAAAAAAAAGTAAAAGTTTGTTTAATCAAGCAGCATCAAGAACAGAACAAAATGTAATCGCGTTGTTAATCTTATTGCGTTGCAGGTGGCACGATCTCGATGACAGACGCCAGCGGCAAGCCGTACGTCGGTGGGGCCGGAAATGGATCGACGGCTTCGGTAGCGACTTCCAGTAGCGTGACTAGCACAGCCTCGCCCCTTAGGAGTTCTCTGAAGAAGCCCAAACCTCTTGGCATTCATAATCCTGGCTTCTCGGCGCACAGCCCGACTTTGTCGAGGAACGGCTCGCAAAAGAAAGTGCGTATACAGACGCATTCGACGGAAGTTTAACTGACGCTCTTTTGGCACGTGCTCGTTGTTCGCACGTGAGCGTTTGCTACGTGATTGCAGTATCGTCATCGTTCAAGGCTGTTGCGACAGGAAATTGAATGGTGATGACAAGACGTTCTACTCGAAGTAGTTCCATGTGCACGTTCCATTAACGGTAGGTGGTTTCTAATATCACTAACTATGGTTGATTCGGCGATCAGAGACGATGTCTTTGCGGTATCAAATTTTTACTGTTTCATAGTCGAATGCTAAAGTTCTCTGTCGGTGACGTCGTCTATGAGTTTCATAATGGGACTTTTAATAAGTTCCAAAGATGCGAATCAAGTTGTTCGTGAGTTTGGTATAATATCGTTACAATAAAGTGTAAATAAGTTACGATTGATAATCGTCGAAACTCTTCAAAGCTACCTGAGTTAAATATCAAAGAAATTCAGATCAAACACGTGGTTTGAACACGTTTTACGCTATGCTGATTCCTACGAACCGGCACCGAACTTTCCATTTACGCCATGCCGGTGCAGCGGTATGTTCCAAAAATTTTTTTAAATATTTGATAGATCTGCTTTAGAGAACAAAACTGTACTATATGCCTTTTATGTGACTGATGATTCGTTAGTCCCGGCATCACTTTGCTTCTCGTTCTTTTATTTATTTCAGTTCGCGCATAGCGCGTATCTTTTCGACGGTATTGTGTGGCGTAAACGAAAAGTTGAACGAAATAGGCTCGGCGCTTAACATATTAATATAGTGACTTGTTGAATATATTAGGTCTTTTCCAATTTTTCTACAATATCTTTACACGACATATACATTTATAAGTGGACTAATATAATAGAATATAAACGAAAATGAAATATAATAAAAATATTGGCGGGAGAATAGGATGGATTAAAGTAGAAAAACATATCATATATGATAGAAAAAAACGAGGAAAATTGCATTTGTTATAAATATATTAAATCATGATGACGCAGAATCTAAAATATAAAGAAGATTAAGAAAGCATTATATAATATAAAATATGACACATGTGTGTGTTTATGTGTGTGTTTATGTGTGTGTGGATGTGTGTGGGCATGTGTTTGTATATGATAAGTGATGAAAATTTTGACCTAATGTTATGCACGTATTTTTATAAATTTCATGGAGTATTGACCAATAAAATTTGCACATTATATGATATTAAGATAGCTAATCTCATAAATACGTAAGCTAAATTAATAAAATTGATATTAATTCAAATGATATTAGTAAGTAGCTGAAATTAGTTGCGTTATTACCAATCACGTTATAAGCAAAAATCAACTTTGCATTCAATTAATTTTTTAAGTAAAATGTGTTACTATAAAAATATGAATTTTGATAAAATAAAAAGAGAAGGAAAAAAATTTAACTTATTATTGATATGTAAATGATAGTATTATATTTTTATTTAAAATTGCACCTCTTTTATTGCGATATAATAATATGTGTTAAGGGGATTCTAAAGTCTGTTTTACTGACTAAATGCAATAATTGTTATATAACAATTACTATATTCCTCTTTTATAGATTTGAAAATTCTTCTCTAAGATTAAAGTATACTCATTAATATATGTCTGCGAGGTAAAATTTATGCCGAGAACGAAAGTAATTATTTAAATTGAGATCTTTACTATTTTTTAGTATAATTATATGGCGTCAGAGCTATCAATATCTTTATCATGTTTGCTTGATATAAAAATTTTGCATTCTATACTTATGAAATTCTGATCCACAATTTCGTAAGTCAGTACTACTCAGACTACTAGTTTACATAAATAAATAACGTAGACTTCTTAGAATTAGACTCAGACGTCTAATTAAAACGTTATCGTTTTATGAAAATTTATGTATATGTGTGCATGATATTGATGTAGTAGTATATAAAGACGATGTGTCGGTATGTCACATTTTATCGGTACTCAGCGATCTTACCGGAGCTTGGGCTTTATTTTAAGATCCCCTTAACAGATACATATTAAAATTTTTAAAAATTATGTTTATATATAAATATACTTTTTTAAAGAGATATTTGTGAAATAAAGACTGTATTCTATCTCAATGCTCCATATTAACACATCTTACGCTCTTGCTTTATTAAGTACATGCCAAAAGATAGAATTGATAATGAGCAAAAAATCGTTGATAATGATGTCTTAGAGAATTATTACTTTTATTGTTATTGAAAGTTTATGCGAAAGCGGATGATATAAAAAGTTCGTCGTGCATTTGTTTAATTATAAATCTAATCTCTTCCCCTTTTTATTCTTTTATGTTGAGAGATATGTTAATCACGTATCGAGGCTCTTTAAACCGAATTTTTAATTTGTTTTATTATGAAAATACAAATTATTTTGGAAATATCTTGTTTGTGATAAAACATGATTAATTTAGTTTATACATTATTGGGGAGTTATTTGATTACGTAACTGTATAATTCAAACTGCAATAAATAATCTTTATTATTATTATATATTTAACTAAGCACAATTTCCAATGTCAATGTTTAATTAGGCAAATATACATAAATTATATGAATTGGAACTTTTGTAGTATGGTTTCTGTTTGTTACATATAGTATACAATCATAAAACCAAACTAAGAAAAACTGGGGCTCATGAGGCAAATTGGTATCGCGTTTCGTTTATATATATATTTAAAGAAACAATGGAAAAGTTACCGCAAAATATTTTTTTATAATCTTAGTACTTTTCCCTAAGTTTCATTCAAATCAAGTAAATATTACAATAGAAAAAGAGAAAAATTTGATTTGAGAGAAGGCGAATAAATTTTTGAACATTTCATAATTTTGTATTAATAATCCTTCGGCTTGAGAAAACAAATGTGATGTATTATTAATTAAAAGAAAAGTGTCTGTATAAGACACATTATTTTGAGTAATAATGGAAATTTATTATAAAATGATAAAAATCGGATGTGTGCAGGGATGAGGTTCGTTGGCTCATTTATAAGAAAAAATTAGACTTTCCATACCGCATGTGTGAATATACAATTGCAATTTAATTCTGACAAAAAGTTTTATATTTATATAATATTTCTATATTAAAATAAAGTAGAACTAAAATAATATTTATATTCGTTTTTCTGTAACAACATTTTGCTATTTGATTATTTCAAAATAACTTTAAAAGATACAATTTTTATTAAGAAGTACATATCTATAACCTGAGTTTTATTTCTATTATGTTGCTTTTCTATTATGTTTTTATTAATTTAATATGAAGTTGATCATAGAAGCAACGCTACACCGTGATATGTATCAATTTACTCCATCGGGGCAAGTTGATTATAATGCAGCATCTTTGTATTTAATTATTATTACAAAGAAACTATATAGTATATAGAACTAAAAAAATTTAGAGAAAGGTCCTCTCTATTATGTTAATATATTTTAATCGTAATAATTGTTTAAAAAATTTAATGCCAAAATTGTGAAAATCGTTCCAACAAATTCCGGTTTCTCCTGCTTGTTACAACTATTATTTAATGTAATCACATATCTAAAATATTTTCGTACTTTTGACCGCTTATAAGGAAAGAGCAAAAAGTTTGTTTAAAAATGTATATGAACTTATACATACTGTAAGACATATACGGAAATGAATTGTTACCGAATTTAATAATTCGTCGAGAATTTTTTAATCCAATATATGAGTATTAATAATATAGTTACATATTATTATTAGTTATTTGTGTTAATAATATTATTATTAACAGTTTTCCGTCCATTTAAGTACTTTATAATATTTAGTATTAATGTTCATTTATTGTATATTTTGCTAAACGTTTATTAAAGAAATATTCATAATGTATTATACACCGATTACGTAAAAACTGTTGTATACTTGAAAAGTGTATTATTTGATTTATTTATTATAATTTTGTAAATAATATAATATA